GGTAATTCCTCTGCTCCTTCTGCATGAGCTGGGTGAGGAACTGCCTCCCGTTGCGGGCCACGAACTGCGCCGTGAGCTTCACCACGTCCAGGTCGAAGGCCGAGATGGACGGAGGGTCCGCGATGAACTCGAACTCGGGCGGGGGCTCCTTGGGGACTACGGTCTCCTGGATCACCTGGGCCTGCACCTGCAGGGAACAGACACAGCCCAGTGACCTCCTGTGACGCCTGGTGAAGGCTGACCTACAACACAGACTAGCTGGAGCTAAAGGATAAAGCTGGGATTTGTTAGGAGGCCTCAATGGATCCCCCTAGGGCAGCACAACCCAAAATGGCCACAAAATGGATGACAGGTCATGGGGTCTCACATTTTTGTAAGTTCTGCTCCATTTGCATATTGGAGCTAATTGTCCAGTTACAGCTTTAGCCCATGAAGTCCCATCCTTGTTTTTCTCTCTTCAGCTCATGTTGTTGATGCGCTTGGGCCTGAGATTTGGATAATTTGCCCTTGGTCCCCAGCTAGAGAAGGAATGGTTTTGTCTCCCTACTCTGTGAAGGGAGTTCACCATCCCCTGATATGAAGCCTAGACTTACACACAAAAGCACAAAATCTGAAAAATACAAAAGCTAAAACCTGAGCCACCACCTGCAAGGAACAGTCACCAAACACTCAGGAGAAGCTTTTTTCCCCTCCAGCTGCTGTGGGAAAGCAATGCCAGTTGCCATCCTGGCAGGTGCAAGGATGAGAAATCATCAGGTGTAATTTAAAACTATTTAAAAAGTTGTTCCAACAGCAAACAAATCTGGAATGTATCAGGACTTTGCTACAGTCCTCCCAGGGCCACCAGTGTGGCTGCTGGCCACACCAAGCATGGAAAAGCCCTGGATTCACTCCATGCCCTCCTCCCACCCAGAATGTTCAAAGCCACAGCTGAACAAGGTGAGCAGCATTTTGCACTCCATGTTTTAAGGGGAGGTCGATCTTTCTGGCAGGGAAAGTTTCTATAGAACAGTGCATGCAACAAGGCCAAACAGAATTCCAAGGGATTCCCAAGGTTTGCCTCTGCCACATCCAGTCCAAGTGATCCCTAGTGTAAGTACTTTGTAAGTCAATACAGAGCTAAACTTAATTAAAATGGACCAATTAAAAAAAGTTTCAAAACAGCTTCGAGTTACCAGCACCTGGGAGATGCACATCTGCATCAAAACAAAGCCCCAGTCACTCGACTCCAAGCCTGTCACTGCTGGCATTTTGGCTGATGTACAACCAACTGCTCCCTCTTGATTTTCGAGCTTCCTTCCTTCTCAACCCCAGGCTGTGACACCACCCCAAAGTGGCCAAAATCTTCCCCAAAGTGATGAAAAGGAACATTCACCTTCTGTGGGAGCTGCTGCTGGGCACTCTGCTGCTGCTGCATGACCTTGGGGATGGCAGCCGAGGGCTCCTGGGCTTTGCCCTCCTTGAACTCACTGACCTTGTGCCGGTAGTAGGCATGGTAAGGGTCGTTGGGGTTCAGGAAGTTGAACTTGGGGTTATTTATTTCATTCTGACGAATTCGGGCTTCAAATTCTGGACCATTTCTGGGGAGCAAGAAGAAAAGCTGTTTAGGGACATGCTGAGGCATCAGCCCCTTGCAAGATCATTTTCTCTCTCACATGACCAGAGTTTCTCCCTCAGTAGCTCACACCCAGCTGAACACACACAAGTTAGATGCAACTGTCCCCCTAACTGTGCCTTTAATGTGAATATTAAAAATTCACACTCACAAGTGCTCCACAGCCACATCTGTCTGCACTCAAAGGTCATTTCCACCATTGGCTGAAGTTTACAGTTATGAAGCATGAAGTTTACAAGTTACTACATCAATTTTATCTGCTCTATTAATAAGTTCTCAAGACTAATTTCAGTTCCAGAGTGATCATATAAGGAAAAAAAGCAGGTAAACATCAGCCTGTGCAGGGACTGACCAGCCCAGAGTGCTGCATTTAGGAGCCCCAGTCCAGGTAAAATCCCCTCCTCCCACCTAAAGCACGAGCCAGTGATTTCAGGGAGTTGGAGAAAATTCCCAGCTGCCACAGGGTGTTCCTCTTCATATTCTCTGGATAACTCCCAGTCTCGATTTAACATTCCAGCTCCTCCAAAAGAGGAGGTCTCTGCAATCCCAAAGGATAAACACAGCAGCCCCTTATGCTCAGAAGCAGCCAACACTCCTTGGCAGCACTTTTGAGATGAGTAACACAATAAGGGTTGGACTGGAGCAGCATTTAGTAATTCTCTGGAACCAAAACCCACCATATTTTAGCACCAAAACACAGCCATGACTCCTGTACCAAGGCTCCCTTTGCACCTGATATTTAGTCTCCCCTTCAGATCATTCAGAACAGGCCCTGTCACCCAGTTATTGCAGCACCCACTGCACATTTGAACAAGGACTTTATTTATTTACTACCAGTTTCTCTAGCAAAGGGTGTCTTACACCCTCTCCTGAAGAGATGTCTTTTTCAGTCTCACTGGTGCAGCCTCAATCCTTGAAATCCTTCATGCAAAACCACAAAACTGAGACCTGCTTCAGCTTCTAGAGCTGCACTGAACAGCAGAAGCATGAAAATCCCAGGAAAGAGACACCACCAGTGCCACTTACCTGGCTACAAAGCTGGCAGTCTTGTCCACAATATTCCTGACCTCTGGAGGAGGGTAAATAATTCCCACCACAGGCTTGGCTGGTGCTGCTTCCTCTTTAGGCTCCTCTTCTGGCTGTAATAAAGACAGTTTCATTGCAAAAGGTGAAGGGGAGTGAGGATTAGGCATCCCAAACAATGGCACACAGGAGCCTTTATCCATCCTCCTCCTCAGCCTCTCAGTCACTAAACTGCTTGAACAATCTGCATCATCCATCCCACCAACTCCTCGGACTCCCAGGGGCACCTGCTGCAGGGCCAGGGACAGCAGGACAACAAGGAAGGTGCCCCCATGGGAACCAAAACCATTTTCACTGTATCAGCCTTGACCCCAAGTATGTTTTTAAATGCTGAGCCAAGAGACTCCAGTAACATTTCCAGGAATAATTCATCATTCCTCAGCAGCTGTGGAAGTTCTGCATCTTCCTAGGGGCCTGTGGGACCTGAATTATTAACTCCACATTAAATAAAACATAGCTTTTAATGCCATTGTAGCTGCAACAGAAGCTGTTTTGAACAGAAAATCTCCAAGAGTTTTTCTCACTGATGTTACAGGAGGATCTGTATTCCAGTAAAACCATAAGATGTTTTGCAGGATACTAAAGATGCTGCTTCTCTTTCCTCACCAAGCAGCTTCCAAGAAAAGGTGTTATAAACTGGGACAGATCTGCTGGAAATGTTTATAATCCTAACAGGGCTACAGTCAGGGATAACTTAAAATCCAGGTAGAGCTCCCAGCTCTGCCAAATCCATGGAGAATCCAAGCCAGAAAATGTTCTCAAGTCAAACTGGTCCCTGGCAGTGCCCAAGGCCAGGGGACAGGGCTGGGAGCAGCCAGGGACAGTGGGAGGTGTCCCTGCCCTGGCAGGGGGTGGGATGAGATGGGCTTTAATATCCCTTCCAAAGCAAACCATCCCATAAAACACAACCTTAACAAGGTGTGTTAAGAGAAAGGCACCATGAACATTTCTAGTTTTTATTACCACTCCCTCAGAACATCATCTTGAGGGGCTGAAGGATGGGGCAACACTACACTTGAGATATTTAACAGTGATGCTGTGTTGCCTTGGTAACAACTGTGCATAAAAGCCACTGGGTTTCTGGGGGGGAATCACAATTTTCTAAGGTTCCCAGTGAGATCAGCTCCCTGTCAGCTCCAAGAGTGCTGATGTTGCTGTGTGAGTCAGGACAGCATTTCCAGCTCTGTGGGAGCTGTATTCCCATCTCAGGAAGGCTGCAAAGAACATGAATATGGCCAAGAGAGAAAGGCCCTGGGAGATTACAGGGCCACACAGCACTGCCACGCTCCCTCAGGCTTTTAATCCTTCCACACATCATTCCTGGAGCCAGGACGGCTCCCACAGCTCCTGGCAACCCCCCACACTCACTGGAACCACAGCCCTGGGGCACTGCCAGGGAAGGGCTCAGCTCCTGCCCAGCCCCAGCTGGATCCTGCTGTCTCCAAGGAATCCTGGAATGGTTTGGGCTGGAAGGCAACCTTAAAGTTCATCTCATTCCACCCCAGCCCATGGGCAGGGACACCTCCCACTAGCCCAGGCTCCTGGCCTTGGGCACTGCCAGGGATCCAGGGGCAGCCACAGCTGCTCTGGGCACCCTGTGCCAGGGCTGCCCACCCTCACAGGGAACAATTCCTAATTCCCCATCCACCCCTGCCCTCTGGCAGTGGAAGCCATTCCCTCTGTCCTGTCCCTCCATCCCTTGTCCCCAGTCCCTCTCCAGCTCTCCTGGAGCCCCTTCAGGCCCTGCAAGGGGCTCTGAGCTCTCCCTGGAGCTTCTCCTCTCCAGGTGAGCACCCCCAGCTCTCCAGCCTGGCTCCAGAGCAGAGGGGCTCCAGCCCTTGCAGCATCTCTGGTTCCTCCTCTGGGCTCTCTGCAGCAGCTCCAGGTCCCTCCTGTGCCTGCCAGGGCTGGGGCAGCTCTGCAGGTGGGCTCAGGGGTCAGCACCGCGCACCGGACGAAGCCGCAGCTCCCCCAAGCCCAACCCGGCCCGTGAGGGCCACAGTGCCAGAGCCCCGCGCCATTCCCGCCGCCCGCCCCTCCCCTCCCGCACCGGTTTGCTCTCGGCGGGGGGCGCGGGCTGCGCCGGAGGCACGGCCTGCACGGGTCCGGCGGGCATGGCGCTGCCGGGGCCGGTGGAAGCGCTGCCGGGGTCTCGGTGCGGAGCGGACGCGGCGCCGGCTCCGACTGGGGCGAAATGGCGGCGGCGGGCGCTGTGCCGCGCATGCGCGCCAGAAGTGACGCACCGGCGGCGCAGGCGCACATTGCCGGGATGCGGGTGGGGATAGGGCGCTGCGGGATGTACCATTAGCGCCCCGCGCGGGGGGGGGCAGTGCAGGAATGCACCACTGCAGCGGGGAGGGGCGTGGTTGCCATGGCGACAGCGCTGGGACGCCGCGGCCTAGCGCAGGTCCCGGGCCCGGCGCCTCTTCTCCGCGGTTGCTGTTGATTCATCCGAGCCCCCCGGTTCCCTCCGGCTCCCCAGCACTGCTGGAGACCGCCGGGCCCGGGGGTGCCGTGCGGGTCTGCTCCAGCAGCCTGTGCCGGTAGGGCTGGTGGCCCCATCGCTCCCCGGCCTGGTGGCCCCGGTGTTCCCCGGCCGTGTCCCGCCGCTCCCGTGCCCGGCGCACCGCGGACCATGGCGCACCTCCTGGGCCACCGCGGCTGCATGGAGAGCCTGCGGGCCGACCTGCGGGACCTGCAGGCCGCCATCGCCGACGTGTGCTCCCGGGCCGGCGCCGTGCGCTTCCCCTCCTGGAAGTTCCCCGACAAGGTGTCCTGCGAGCTGGACATACCGCTGCTGCTGCAGCGCTACAGGCACAGCGACAGCGAGCCCGAGTTCAGCCAGCACGCACACGTGGTGCTGCTGGAGCTGCTCATCGACAGGTGAGAGGCCCCAGGCAGCTCCTGCCCCGCGGGGAAGGGCAGCTTGTGTCTGATGTGCTGAGCTTATCCAAGTCCTAGTGAAGGTTTTGGGTACCTCAGCACAGAGAAAGCTGTTAGAGAGCATCCAAATGAGGGTGGTGAAGGGCTGGGCATGAGAGCACTTGGTCTGTTCAGCTGCAACAGAGGTCAGATCTCAGCGGGGCTGCAGCTCCTCCCGGGGCACTGCTCTGATCTCTGTGACCAGGGGTGGGATTCAATGAATGGCTGGAGCTGTGTCAGGGAGGTGTAGACTGGATATCAGGAAAAGGTTCTTCCCCCAGAGGGTGCTCAAGTACTCAACAGGTGCCCCAGAGAGTACTCACAGAATCAGCTGGGTTGGAAAAGGCCTTGGAGATCATCAAGTGCAACCTAAGATGGTAACACGACCTTATCAATGGCACCAAGTGCCACATCAGGGCCCCGAGGCTGCCAGAGCTCCAGGAGCCTTGGGTGGGATTGTTGGGGTGTCTGTGCAGGGCCAGGAGTTGGACTGGATGATCCCTGGGTCCCTTCCAGCTCAGGATATCCCATGATTTTATGAAGTCTTGGATGCTTTGTTCCCCATGTATTTATTTCCATGATGGGCAGTGCCAGCACCTTGGCCTCATGCTCTGCTGAGCTTTAAAACCCAACTCCTTTCCCTGCTTGGAGCTCCCAGCACACACTGGCCACAAAGAAGCAGAGCCAGAGGTGGAGCAGATGGGACAGGCTTGTTAAACTGCCTCCCAAAGCTTTAGAAACAGCTGCATCAACAGGCCAAAGCCCCTTTTGCAGTCTGGGTGAAATAAATACAGCTCTGGTGTAAAAGATGAGCCATTCCCACTGAGCTGTTGGCCCTAAAAGTCAGGATTTGCAGTCCCAAATCTTACTGGGGAGCTTAATCACAATTTCTGGGAAGTGGCTGCTGCATTAAGTGAGCACCAATCTCCCCCTCCTGCATCCCCGGGGCTCTGCCTGGTGTTGGGAGGGGTCCAGCCCTGGCCCCGCTGGCAGTGCCAGCCCCAAGCCGTGTTTTCCCGTGGGCACAGGCTGCTGCTGCTGCTGCAGAGCTTCACGGGCTACGCGGACACGGTGCTGAGCGGGCGGGCGGTGCCGCCGCCGCGGGGCCCGGGGCCCTGCATGTCCGCGGGGCGCACGGCCAGGACCTTCTGGAGCACCATGCTGAGACTCGGGGCCTTCTGCCAGCAGCTCCGCCACGAGGTGGGACATCTGGGGACGTGCCATGAGCTGAATCACTCCCCTCCCGCTCTGGAGTTGGATCGTGGTCCTTCTCAACACCCTGTGGCCCCGCCAGATGTGCTGGCCCCTGTGTCGCACATCTGTCCCTTCCCTCCGCCCCTCCCAGCTGTGCCACTGCATCCCTCCTGCTCCAGATCCCGGGATGAGTGAGCTGGGCTGCCTCTAGAGCTTGGAAAATATTCTCCTACTGCCAAAATGCTGCAGCTCCGCTGATCCCACTGTGGATCTGAGCTCTCTCAAGACAGTGAAATAATTGGTGGGAAAAACAACCTCTCCTGCATTTTATTTTCCCCAAAATGATCTTTCTCGTGGAAAAGTCTCAGAACAATCCATGTGGCAAAAGCAGGAGGCAGTGCAGAGGGTGGGAAAGAAGGGGTGGTGGGGAGTATGTTTTGCTGCTGAGGCTTCCCCTTGGTCACTGTCCCTTTGGCTGCATTGCTGTCCTATCTCAACACCTGATTTAGGCTTTTATGGGTCATTTCCACTTTGATCTGGGCTCTGGTTTCATTCTGTGCTCTCTCCCTCGGGGGAGGGATTGCAGGTGGGAGATCCCCACACAGCAATCCACTCCACCCTCTGCTCCCCAGGCTGGGAAATACCAGAAGGAGCACCTGAAATGCTTCTCTCCAGATGTTTTGGAGTCAGGAACTGCCCCAGAGGCTGCCCAGTCCACTCCTGTGTGCCCACATCCGAGTGTCCAGCCCAGGGCTGGCCCCAGCCTGGCTCAGAGCACCCGCAGCGTCCTCACACAGACCCCGGGGTCACCCCTGGGCTCCTGTGACACCTGCTCCAGCGCCCAGGCCAGCCTCCACGAGGTGGGCAGAGCCATCACCAGCATCTGCCAGAGCCAGAACATCCCTTCAGCTCTCAGCAAATTCCAGGAGGTGCTGGAGGACAGCTCAGGGAGAAGGAACCTCTCTGCAACAGACGTGAGCTACTGGGCCTCGGAGCAGAGCAAGGACCTCTCCCGGATCAACAAACACCTCCAGGGGCTGCTGCAGCAGCTGAACCCCGTGAAGGCCGAGCTGGAAGAGATGGGCAGACAGAAGGACAAGCTGCAGAAACAGGTTGAGGACTTTTCCAGGAAGCTGCGGGCAGAGAAGGCCGCCCAAGCAGAGCAGCAGCAGAAGGCTGAGCAGGGCCTGAAAGCCAAGGAAAAGGAGCATTCCGAGGCTGTGGCCAGGCTGGAGCAGGACAAGGATGACCTCCGGAGAGGTACAGAGGCCCAGGGGCATTTACAGGCAGAATAACAGAGTCTATGGGCAAATTCTGGCCCCTCCACAACCAGCAGGGCTTTTTGTAGGTGCTGGGGATTCTCCCTGCTGTGAGGCCAGTCCCAGGCAGTGGGAGCTGGTTGTGTGACCTATCACTGCCTCCTCCCTGGCAGCACAACACAATCAGGATGAAAACACTTTGGTGTGGCTGTTTGCTGCCCCTTGGCTTAGTTTTTTTTTGAAGAACTGATTAATGAGAGGGTTTTTCTACTGGTTTAGGAGCTGCTCTGCTGGAGGAGAAACTGTGGGCCCTGAAGGAGGAGCTGGCAGCGAAGCAGGTGGCTGTGCAGGAGCTGGGTAAGGGCTCACCCAGCTCACACATCTCCAGCCTCACCCTGGCCTCACGAGTGTTTCACACCCCTGTAGCCCCCTGCACCCCCAGACTGGGCTGTAGAGCTGTGGGGATGGGCAGAGGATGGGCCTCCTTCACAGCAGCAACCAACATCAGCCAGTGCCAGAGCAGGCTGATGCTGCTGGAGGTCTGGGGGGAGTGGGGGGGGTCACAGGCCTCCTGTCAGACCTGCCTCCCTTTGCCAGGGCCTGTGGAAGGCATGGGGTGCCCCTGAACAGAATCACAGACTGGTTTGGATGGGCAGGGACATTAAAGTCCATCCCATTTCACCCCTGCCATGGGCAGGAACACCTTCCACTAGCTTAGGGTGCTCCAAGCCCTGTCCAGCCTGGCCTTGGGCACTGCCAGGGATCCAGGGGCAGCCACAGCTTCTCTGGGCACCTGTGCCAGGGCCTGCCCACCTCACAGGGAATGATCTCTTCCTCCTATCCCATCTAACCCTGCCCTCTGGCAGTGGGAAGCCATTCCCCCTTGTTCTGTCACTCCAGGCCCTTTTCCCAAGTCCCTCTCCAGCTCTCTTGGAGCCCCTCTAGGCACTGGAAGGGGTTCTTAAGTTCTCTCTGGAGCCTTCTCTTCTTCAGGCTGAACACCCCCATCCCTCTCATCACCTCCACGGCCCTCCAGCCTCCCACCCTGCCAGCCTGGGCCATGGTGGCTGTGTCTTCCCAGAGCTCTCCAAGACCACCTTGCTGGAGGAGATGAGGACCACAATGGTGGCCCGGAGCCAGGTGCTGGAGCTGGAGGAGAAGGTGCAGGTGCTCACAGGCCAGAGGAACAGCCTGGAGCAGGAGCTGAGTGCCACCAGCATGCAGCTGGAGAAGGAGAAGGTCCGTGTGGAGAGCATGTTCCGGCACGAGGAGGTACGGCCCCTCCGCAGCGTGGGGACAGCTGAGCTGCTGCTGCTGTCAGGGCTGTGGGGAATGGTGCCCCAGCCCCACACGGGCTCACCCCCCACCACAGTCCCTGCAGGCCAAGCAGAGGAGCCTGCTGCAGCAGCTGGACAGCCTGGACCGGGAGCGGGAGGAGCTGCAGGCCAGCCTGGGAGAGGCCGAGCAGGACAAGGCCCGGCTGGCTGAGCAGCTGGAGCAGAGCCAGGAGCAGAGTGGGAAACAGCTCCAGGCACAGCAGGTGAGTGCTGGTACCCAGGTGTGGGACACAGCCTGTGCCACTGAGCTGCCCTGCCCACAGCCAGAGTTTTCCCAGGGGCCTGGGGTGACATTGCCACATGGCCACATCTCCACTGCATTCCCTTTGGAAGAGCCCTCTCCCTCCACCCCGTGCCAGACAAGTCTCTAGTTGAATCAGGGCAGAGGGGAGCAGCAGGAAGGGACATCTTGAGGTGCTTCCACATCTCCAGTGTTCTGTTCTGGACATGCTCCACATTTCATGGTTGGTGTTCCAGCTCCCAGCACACACAGGGATCTCACAGCTAAAACCCTGCACATTGTCCACTTCCAACTGCCACAGGACATCCTTGTCATCAGGGAGGGGTGGCAGCCTTCCACGAGAGCCTTCCTTCCATGAGAGGCTGAGTCCTCCCTCCTGCAAACTTCATCTCCTCCCCACCGTGCCATGCAGGAGCTGCTGGACACGCTGCAGCAGGAGAAGCTGGCACTGGAGCAATCCATCCTGGAGCTGCAGGCGAACACATCCCGGCTGGAAGAAGAGGCACAGGAGCTGAGGAAGCGGGAAAGGCTCCTGGTGTTCTTCCCCGATCTCCACGTCCCCACTGAGACACAGTTTGAGAGTAAGGGAGCAGATGGCAGCACAGTGGGTTTGTGCCTTGGGGTCTCCAGAGCTCCCAGGGGATCCTGCTGGCCCCAGACACTCAGTTTGTCCCACTGATAGCTGGGAAGGGCTCAGACCCCGTGCAAAGCTGTGACCATCCCAACATGGGTGCTTCCCTGTCCTTCCCTGTATGGGTGCTGTGCATCCCACATCTGGGCCAGGACATACAGCAGGACCAGGACATGGCAGAGCTGCCTTTGCCCACAGGGTTGGGGTCCCAGCTGCCACTTCCCGGGCTGTGCCACTGCTCCCTGTCCGGGGCAGGCTCCTTTCCTTGGCAGGCAGGAGGGACGCCCACGCCTCTGAGCAGAC